CACACACACACACACACTACGAGACAGCAGATAGGAAGTCAAACATTCAGGTGATGGCATTTCAGACTGAGCAGAAATTATCATCCTGGATGAAAAGGCTAAAAGGTTTTTTTTTCCAAGTTGAAAAGAGACAGTTTGTTTGTATTTATTTGGTTGACCTGTAACTGTAACAATCTGTCTGTCTGTCTGTCTGTCTGTAACTGACACTGTCCATCTGTTTCCTCCACAGCTGATAAAGAGAAACTGGGGAAGAAAGACGACAGCAGTCCTTTCAAAGTAAACGTCTTGGGTAAGGAAAGACTCTCATTTTTTGTAGTTTTTGTCCATCATTCTCTCAGGAATAATAGTTAATTAAACAAATGTTAGATGTCAGACAATACAAGCATTGCAGTCGGGTTGCAGCTCAATTTGCTCACAACGAGCATGACTTGTGATAAGTTGATTGACAGCAAGATATACCAGTTGGCTCACATGATTCCCCAGGTGGTCAACCCTTTCTCCGGTCAGGAAACCGATGCTGGGACATTCTGCCAGATCTCTGATATTAAAGGTCCAGTGTGAAACATTAAGGAGGATCTACACTATTAAACATACTTACATTTTGAAATTAACAAGAAAAAGTTTTGCCAACCCATTTTAAGGAAAACTTTTTCTTTTTAGAAACAGAAACAAAAAATCTGAAAAATCGATCACTTTGAAAATTATTTTATTTGAGTGCATGAAAATAAATAGCTTCACTCACTTTTATGAGTTTTAACTACAATACAAGTTTTTCTTATATAAACTAAAGAAGAAAAGTAAATTATCCATAGTATTAGTTTGATTACTCAAAAATCTAATGATCAGAAATAGAATATAATATTCATAGTTAGAGTTTCATTAGTGTATAATCACGGGTTAAAAAAACAAACACTGACTCGAATTAAAGTCTGATGCATAAAACATCCATCCACCTCTCAGACCTGCAAACCCGTGGCACGATACTTTCTGCATCAGCACTGAATCACATCATTAAAACAAGACTAATGGTGTGTTCCTACCAAACACAAAGCAAGTTTACTCGTGGGGTCATTTGTATAGTGTAGTAAACATTCACCCTTTAATCTGGTTTACTATAGCAGTTTGAGAATTAGCTGTGATTTAATTGCAATAAACTGAACAAAATGATGCCAAAATAACTACATCATGATGCAGATTTGTGAGAAGTCTTAATTAATACTTTGAGTGGTCTGTCTGAATAGAGTTTGGATCGATCAGGTGTCTGCTAACTTAGTTCATAGTAAAGTAAAACTAAAAGCTGGAATCAAATAACAGAGTAGTCCAACCATGTAGTCCAACTTCCTCTCTCACTTTTCTCCAAGCAATCTCCTTTTTTATGGCACTAGATGAAAAGTCAGTTATTACAATTCATCTTGAGGCGACCAGGAATGTCTAAACCAAATTTCCAGGCAATCCATCCAATAGTTGAGATGCTTCAGTCTAAACCAAAGTACTGGACCCACACACAGACAGTCATCATCATCCCTGGAGCTACACTGCTAGCGAGGCTGGAAAAAATCACTCAGCACATTAACGCCCCCGGACACTTTGTGTTAATTTGTAAGATTATATAACCACGTCGTAAATCCACTTTCCTGCCTCTAATGGTAAAACTTCCTGTGGCCTTTTAGCAGCCTGTTAACCTGCATCTGAACCTGCTGAGGAGCAATAACCGCAGGATAAAACGTAATGAAAATCTCCTTAACACACAGTAATATCCTCACGGGGGGGAAACAAAGCAGGAAAATCAAAACTCTCACAGCTCTGATTCTCTGCTGCTACTGAACATAATGTGAGTACACGTCTTTAAGCCTGAGAGTTCTGCAACGCTGTAATTTCGCATAAGTAAACACACAGATTAGTGGAGAAGAACGAGGACATTTTGCGGCGTTAGCCACCCTGCTGCACGATGCAAGTGTGGAGTTTGGAGATCAAAGAGGAGATGAAACAGAATCCAGAGGGTTTTAGTATCTGCAGCTCACTGTGCATTGATATCAGGGACTAAAACGTCTCAGGGGGAATGATTCCTCCACAGCTCCGTCAGTTCCTTCGCTTTGTATTTTAACTCGGACTAAAAGACGGACAATAGGAGGATTGGATTAAACCGCTGCATTGTTAACAACACAAACAGTGAAGGACACAGCAGCACATTTCTGAAGCTGATAATGTGAGACACAAGAGCCAAGAAAGGCTGCGTTCACAGGCGCTATGTTCACATCTGTTTATCTGAACTATGCAATGTTTCCTCCTCTGGTTCGTCCATCTTCATCAAATAAAACTCTGTACAGGACATGTCCTTCAAGTCAAACTCAGTAATAAATGAATAAAACCACATTATGTCCTTTTCTTAACATGGACTATGTGCTTTTATATCTCAGGGTTCCCAGAGACTTCCCAGAGGGAACATTTTTTATTTAAAACACAGCTTACAGTGAAAAAATTAAAAATTATAAAAATTATAAATGAACCAAGAAGTCAATACCCTTGTATAACTCAAATCCCAATCTCACCCATAGCCATCTAACTAGCAAGGTTGGCTTATCAGCTAGGAGTTTTTGTTCTTAAAAATAGGAATTATGAAGTTGTCAAATTATTACACAAATGTATTAAACATGTTGGGATTTATTCATATTATTATACATTTTATAATCTTAAAGTCTTATTCATTTATCTAGAATTGGCCACTTTTGATATACACATAACACAAAAACAACTGACTGACATCACATTACCATCACAAGAGGCAACTGTAAAACTGTTGACAGAATACCTTGAGCTGCAAACAAGGTTAAATGTGGACTATTTTTGTCATGAATTTTAGACCCATGGAGGATTTTTTACCAGAGCACAGAAACCCCATTTTCTTTATGCACTGGGCAAGCAATTTAATTTAAAGAATATTTGCATTTTCTTAAGAAAATGTGTGTGACTGCTGCATCTGATACCGCTGCTAGCTGGCCCAGCTTCTGATGTGTTCATGCTTCACTTCTGAAGATAACACCCCAAATCAGTTGTAATTGAGTAGTGTTCAAGAAATATGGCAGGGTTTTATTAATGGCCACAAGGTTGAGGTACTGTCGATAGAATTGAATGAATTGTCACACACATGCAATGTGGCTTTATGTACAACATTCCCAAATTTGGTTGCAATCCAATTCAACATTGAAGAATTATGGCCCGTTAAGTGCATCGGGCCACGCCTTCAAAAGTTTTGTAACCTATTACAGACCAACCAACAAGTGAAAACTAAAAACACAAATCGATAAGTCTTGATCATCTAAATATGCTATGTACCGTTTTTGATGAAGAATAGATGGAATATGTGCCAAAAGAAGCAAATCATGTCACACAATTATTTCATAAAAAATATTGGAGTTCATATTAATAATATAATTTTTGTTATTATTATATTTACAACACTTTCCTCTGCCCTGTATATACAGCACGGTCCTCTGCCCTGTATCTATAGCATTAACCTCTGCCTTGTATCTATAGCACTCTGCCCTGTATCCGCAAAGTAATGTTATTGTGTTTAGTATTTGGGTATACATTGTACAGTTTATCAGTTGTACATTGAATACAACATGAAATATGCTTAAGGATAAACATTGGGAACCACTGCCCTATGCACGATATTTTGTGATCATTTCTGTGTCACATTATAATCATCTGTGTTTGAGGGGAAAATAACATCTAAATGTGGGCTCTCAAGCAAATTACGGTCATTAATATTTTGTCTCTCTCTGAGCTCCTCTCGGGGAAGTTTGTAGGAAAGTGTTGGAAAGACTCCCAAGATGTTCAAATGACACATTTGTTGAATCTGTAAATGTAACATCACTAATTCAGATGTGAAGGTATCGTGTTACTGTAGTTAGTGATTATCCTCTTTGTAAGTTAACGCTCTGGTTTCCGTAACAGCAGCCGAAATAATCCTCTGTGAACAGACTGAAAACCAGTTTGCTCTACTTGAAGTGAAAAACTCAGGTTGTAAAAATAGTGCAACTCTGACTTTATGAAACCAATGAAACTGTTCTTCATAGTCTCTTATAATCTTGACAATTAGACAGTTCAGTTTGATGAAACAGCACTTATTGGGCTTTCTTAGATTTGTAAATCTCCCAAACTTCCTGTTAATCGTAAATGTGTTAAACAGTGAACTTTAAACTCCTACTCACAGGGTTTGTTATTAAAGACTTTGCTCATGTTGATGTGAATTTTTTTGCCTATCAGTCATTTTAATGAGCAGTACAGATAGCTTTGTAGGCCTTTTCTTTATTGGTGCAGTGAATTATAGTGAAGAGACGGCTGTGTGTGATTGAAGAACCCTTTAATGTGCAAAGCATTTGTATTTTATGATTTATCTGCACATAGAACAGAGACTGGGGTCGTCAAACAACAATTCTGTAGCTACAGTTTTTGTTTTGATTTTTCCTACAACACAATTACTTGATATTTCAGTATCGTCATTTATTTTCCAGATTTATATAAACATACATATGTGTGTGTATATTGATTTTTATCAGTGTTCTTAATTTAGTATAAGTTTTAACCATACTGTAATAATCACAGGTCACAATCTGGTTTGTTTTTTTATTTCTCTGGTAGTCTACTGTTATTTTGTGGATGGTATTTAGCTGCTTCTGTGACTTTTTAAAGGAAATAGATTTTTTAAGAATGAATAAGACCAAGTAAAACCATGGTTCTGCCCTCCAGCACTCACCAGTACACCAGCTGATTATCCTGTCATGTTTATTTTTCCCCAATCAGAAACCAAAGGTCTCGACCACGGTGACGGTTTCTATGCTGGGATGCCGATCCCTTGCGCCGACAGCTACGCCGGCTTCTGTGTTCATGGGAAATGTGAGATCAAATACAACATGGCCACCTGCAGGTCAGTGACCACTTCAATTGCTACTGCTAATGCTACTACCACTGATGTTAATAAACCTGCTAATCCTTCTGTCTCTCATACTGCTACTACTACTACTGCCACTGAAATTACTACAATTATTATTTTAATTTTATTAGTTTGAAACATGTCATCACTGGCATTTCAATGATTTGTTTGTCACAGGTATCAGTTAAGTGTTAATAAACCAGTGGTGGTATATCTTTACTTCACTAAAAGTAGTACCACACTGAGAAAATACTACTACAAGATCTGCATTCAAAACCATACTTAAGTTTTACTTAGTATTGTCAGCAAAATGTATGCAAAATATGAAATGTAAAAGTACTCATAGTGCAGTAAAATGTTCCCTGTTAGTGTTTTACTATTATATCTGATGTTTTTGGATTAATATTACTGCTGCATTAATCTGTATGTTGCATTTTACTGCTGTAGATGTTTATGGTTGAGCTCACTTACTCATCTATATACTGTTGGTAGGTTGATCTACAGCAATGCATCATATTCAATAAGATCATCATATGTTTGTAGCGTATCTTTGTGGAGTCTCTAAAATGTCAGAAGAAATCCTGTTTGCACATTTGTGACGATGCATTTTCCAGTTAATAACCCTAAATAATTTATTTAACTTATATAGAAACACTTCATCCTTTTGTTTGAATGTACATTCCAACTCCACCGGTACAAGCTGAGCTTCATTATCTTGTTGCTCAGTCTAAATGAGCATTTAAAAAAAAGACTTTTACAGAATGAGTCCTGTAGATTTTAAACATCAAATCCAAACTTATGTTTCAGTTTTACATAACAGACATGCAGCGACATCGTGTCAGATACAGGTCTTGTTTTTCAGTACCTTTTATGTGCCTCTGACAGAAAAGATGTCTGCTTTGACCATAGAGTTTACACCGACCACGTTGTCACTGGTGCTTTACACATGACCCTTTTTTTTTTACCTGCATAACTAGTGGTTCAAATGATTATATGTTGGGCTGACAAACACACAATCATTTGATGACCTGCCCTCCGTACTGCACCTGAATGCATCCTTTGTGACCTGATGAAGGGCTAATGCTGATAAGATGCTGCTTTTACTGCACAACCTTGGTAAACTTCCTTTCTTTGTGTGTTTGTGTGTGTGTGTGTGTGTGTGTGTTCCAGGTGTGATGCAGGATATAAAGGTCCTCAGTGTGATGAGCCTCAGGACTTCAATATCCTCTATGTGGTTCCCAGTGGACAGAAGCTCCACTACGTCCTCATCGCCGCCATCATCGGCGCCGTGCAGATTGCCATCATCGTCGCTGTGGTGATGTGCATCACAAGGTAAGGCGGCGAAAGAAAGAAAGAAAGAAAGAAAGAAAACCATGTAAAAAAGACAAAAAATAGTTTATGAAAGTATATTTCAGGTACAAAATGAAGCACATGAAGAAAACAGAAACTTAGTTTTAATCCCTTTGAGTTAACAGGAGAAGATGGAAGGAAGGAAGATGATAGTGAAAAGACGGGTGGATTCTCCACTACAAAAGTGTTAACCTATGGAAAAATATATACAGTAACAACACTTTATTATGCTTTATGATAATCCACTCATGCATAGAAACGCAGTGTAATAATAACTAATAATCTGTGTGTACCAGACATATTAGATTATAGAGTAGAATATTATTTAGTATTTTAGTTTGTGTTTTATGGTTGTAGAGACACATTTCCAGGTGTCTCTGCTGAATGTTGTCTGTCTCTGGACAAACAAACTGAAACTAAAGACAGAAACAGTTCAGACAAACAGCTTTGAGCATGCCGCCTGTGAACGCAGCCTCGTTGTTCTTCCGTCACACAGAGTGTAGGTGTGATGTCTGTCAGGATGGAGCTGCTGGTGACAGTTGAGGCTTAAAGCTGAGGAGAATTAAACAGGATTTGACTTGGCCTCGTTTCTCTCTTCTGAGGCGGCAGACAGACTTTACTCCTTCACCCTGAGGAGGAAATAAAATATCCGTCTCTCTTTGCATTGTAAAGGTTTTTGGCAGCTGTTTGACAGTAAAACAACCATCTCTTTTCATTAACATGTTATACATATATACAATGTGAACACACTACTCCACCTACACATTACTACCAGGATGTATCCCTCTGTCTCTCTCAGTACACTGCAGTTTGATCTCACTTTAGAACCAACTTTCAAGTTTTTGATAAGTTGAAATTAAATAAATTCTGAAACATGATTACGAAGTATTCTACCACTGTTTTTATCGTCCTAAAAATGTTCTTTTAATGATCTCCTAAATGTTTCTTAAGATAGGAACTCTGGACTGTCTTGGATAATGTAATGATCATATTGGTTGATGTTACAAATTTGAAGTGCAACTGAAATTTTAGCCTGTTTAGTCTGTTAGCTTGGAATGATGAAGAACAGCTCTTGAGGCTTGCTCAACTGCGTTTTGGGAAGGGTCAATTGCGTGCCAGGTGCATAAGTCAATAAAGTTTTCTTTTGGAACAGTACATTTCCTAAGAACAGAACAATTTAGTGTCTGAAATATGTATATGTAGACGTAGGGGTGCACAGGCATGAGAAACCACAGAAACAGTTCCTTGCCATTTTACGATGGCCCATTGTTCCAAAACCCCAATAGTCCAAAAATTGCCCATTTGTCAGACAGCCCATCCTGAAAACATACGCCCATTGCTCTGAAGGCCCATCCTATAATCTGTTTTTATTCTGACTGTAAAGAGTTTAAATAAAGTAAATTAATGATTCTCGCTCTGTGTGTCTCTTTAGGAAATGTCCGAAAAACAACAGAGGTCGCCGGCAAAAACAAAACCTGGGGCACTTTTCCTCGGACACTAACTCCCGGATGGTATAGCTGTGTTTCTCGGGGTTCTTTTTGATAAGTTTTTTCTATACCATAATACCATTTTTTAACGGTAGATGTGTGGTATTAATTTTTTTTCTCCTGGGAAATCATAAAAAAGAAGAACAACAATATTTATTTAAGGGGCCTTATTTTCCCTCCTTTTTTGCTTTTGGATGGAATTGTTGCGCATAAATTTGCGCAATCGTGATTTTTCTTTTTTTGCCGCAAAACCAAGTACAAGGAGCCGAATCGTGAAAACCCACTGTCACTTTACATCGTCACTATGTCTGATGTCTTAATTACTTTACACTGCTTCATTAGAGGTTTTGTTGAATGCTTTATAAATACGGTACCTTTGGTAAACTGGCTAACAGAGTAATGTCTGCCCCTCTGGAATGTGCTATTTATTGAAAATTATTATTTCTACGGCCCTCTCCATTTTACTTTTTATTAATAATGTGCAGCTGATCACCAAATGCAGTTTGTTTTTAATTTTAATGTAATGTTTTGTAGGAGGTGAGTGGGGGCCAGCCAGTGTTTACACTTATTCTTTGGTATGAAAGTCCATGTAAAGACTTCACTGTGTTCAAACAAGCTAATAATTTATTATTATTGTAATAATAATTTTAGTAGTTTTTACTTAAAAGTTTTTATGTTAACTTTTGTTTTTAAAAATTCTAGCTCCTGTATATTCGCATGACTTGTGCAAACTGTGTACTGTGGTGTAGTTTAAACTTTTTAAAAGAAATGCCGACGGCCTCGTCGCCGCCTCCATGTCAGAGCCGCAGAGATCAGATGTAAGATGGAAATCCCAAAAGCCGGACTGATGAACGGAGGAAAGGTTTTAGTCGGTGTTAAAGAAAGGAATGTGTAATGTTTGGAAAAACAGTCTGCTGTCTTTACCTTCACCACCCAATAACAAAAAAGGACACTTGTAGTTATCATTGATGGTGGGAAACATTGTACAAGTACTTCTAAAACCACTTTTGCTTTGACAAGGATCAGATTTGTGTTGATTTTTAATGCTCAGAGGCAGAAATGTATTTGTATCTTCGTCCGAAAATCTGACTTTAGAGGATTGTAATGAAAGTGTGTCAGCTTTTAGGGGGTTTGAAGGACTGACTGCAAACAGAGGTCAACTCTAAATGATATTTTTATGTAACTGGAGAGAGTCTTGGTTGCTCAAATGGCTGTAAACAAGGCTTTTCTTTGAATGTGAGCAAATAATTATCTTCATTTCCTTTGTTTTAGTTTTGCATTTGTTCCTCAGCGAGACATTCCAAGCACAGAGGATCCCTTACAAAAAAACTGTAATAATTCGATAGGTAATATTGAAAACATACTTTACAGTGCAAATATTACTTAAAGACCCCATTTCCTTCTGGTATTAATGTGATCAGAAACAGGGTTTACAGATATTAGTGGTGTGCAGCTAATTCACTAGTCTTTTAGCATATTCATATTATGGAGTCGTTAAACAGTGAAGACAGTCAAATAAAATATGTAGAAAGTCACAAGACAGTGATTCAAACAACAACCGTAACAGTATGTCGACAGAACTTTACATCCAGTGAATGACATTGTCTTTTCTGTCCCTTGTGTCTTTGTTCCCTTTGTTATATTCTGTAGGTCAAGTTATGATTTTTTTGTGCGTTTTATATCTTTTTCAAGATTTTCTTGCAAATTGTCACAAACCTTTCACTGAATTGTCTTATTGACCACATTTCAAATTCCTCTTCCGTCCCACCTCAGCACTCTCTAACTGTTTAACACTTTTTACATTTGAGTGTATGTTTTACAGCAAACCAATTATTGTAACGTCAATCGATCATAAACTAAACCTTCTAGCAGCGTCCAGTGATGACTCTAATGAGACGACCTTCTGAGCCAGAGTCTGGACGTTGGGGAAATTTAGCTCACCTGGTCTGGTTCATTGATGGCGTATAATTAGTGGGCAAAGGAGAGGCCTGCTCAGAGGGTCGTAAGCTGTAATCATGAAATTACTTAACTTCATTTCTATGTCAATTAATCTTTGATTTCCAATGATACAGCCATTTGTTGATGTTCAGTATTCAGAAGGTTGAAGAAATTCTTTCTTACTCTGTAGTGTTTGGTATCTGGATGCAGAAGCTGACTTGTAGTATATAATACATCAAATTGTACAGCAGTATTTAAACCTCAGTCTGATTAAGCTGCTGTAAAAACCAGTTCATGTCAAGGCGTTGCCATATAATTTTTTATCTGGCATCAGAATTGTCACAACTACGTCTATTTGTGAAAAGGTCTGAAGGTCTGATATGATGTGAACACAGCTGGGGTATTTTCTGAATTAGGAACTTGTAGGGAACTTAACTATGCATTAAGTCTACTGCCATTTACTCCACTTTGTAACTAGTTAGGCTATAGAATAATAACAGCTAAAACTGAGACTAAGAAGTAGAGAAGAACTTTAAACTGAAGCTACATGTGATTATTAAATTAGTTTGGGGATAGTGAATGGGTAAAGATAGTGGCCCTAACGTCCTAACGTACCCGTTCACGCCAGCATTATAACACTGAAAGTTTGGACCAAAACCAATTAATTTCAAAGGTATTGTCTGGATAAATGGATTAGGTAGTGCAATTAAACTAAATCCACACTGACCTTTTGTATGGAGTTCAGCTTGGGTGAGCTTTGACATGATGAATCACACTATTAACCAATAACAAACTATGTTCATAGAGCTGACCTTTAAGGTAACAGAGAACCCAAGAATCCAAGGAAGAAGCTATAACAATATCTGTGTAGCACCATGTAGTTTTATATAACCCTGCTGTGCTGGAGTTTTGACTGCCGGTAGTACAAAAAACTCTCCAATTATTGCGTTAACTTATTGTTCGATTAGTGACCAAGAAAGTTTGTTAACTTACTGCCTGCAGTGTTGGGAGTGACACAGTATAAAGTAACAGGGTACTGTAATTCCTCCTCTTTTGGCTGTAACTAGTAATGTAACTTAATTGTAGGCTTGTTTGTCTTACTGGAAAAGTGGACAACTGCAGAAGTCAGCAAACAAAGGCAGCACATCTAAATGCATCACCTGACCTTACAGTGGCCAAAGAATGCAAGCTTTAAAAAAAAAATTAAATCGGGAGAAGAATCATAAAAAACAACAAGCCCCAGAGGTCGAAAGATAGTCTATTAAACTAAATTTAAATCCCCAGAAAATAAGTAGCATTCCCAGTGATTCAGTATTAATGCTGCTATCAATGATAATCTGTATTTTCTTGTGCATGACTAGTAGAGACGTGTCATTGAGATGTGTCACGTACCTTACCGGTTCAGTAGGGAGGGATGGCCCAGTGGTGACACCAGATTTCTTTCTCGCTGTGTATCCGTGGACGAGGAACTGAAACTCTGAGGCTGTGCTGAGGTCCAAAATACGAGTTCTTCTCTGTATGTTTATAATTCTTATTTTCTGTCACAGGAGTTTTTCTGTATCGTCTTCTACGTCTAGAAGTCGTAGGTCAGCCCCCCTACCCCCACCCCTCCGCTGAGCAACGTGTTTATACTTGTTGTCGACCATCGCAGTCGTGACTTCTCTAAATGTGACTAGAATGTGTTTGACATGTTAATATTCTGCATGTAGACTTTGAGAGGCTATTTTTGGTCTCTGACAAAATAAAAAAGGAACTGTTTTTTTAATGTACGCCAGAGTGCCGATCTGTCATTTGAGTGAAATGTTCCTTTTTCTCTCTTCGTCCTGTGAGGTTTGTCTTGATTGGACTGTTTCTTCTTCTGACACTACTCTCATTTTTTTCCACTTCCTGGGACAGATTAATGATGTTTTTTATAAAAAATATTGTGTGTGTGTGTGTGTGAGAGAGAGAGATTTCACTGCTGAAACACAAATTATTGAGATGACCTGTGTGATCAGTCACAGGAGACGCTTCAGTTCCTGCATACAAAAGACTTATCTTTTGTTTTTGTTCTACAGAGACACTGTGCCCTAATTCCATACTAAATACTACATTATGCAGTATACACCATCTTCTTATGTTGGCAGTGTTTACAACAAGAAATCCATCTGTAACATTGTGAGGATGTCAGTCCTTTTAGAAAAAGCATGTGAACTAAATTTTACTTGAGTTGACAAATAAAAAAAAAACTGGTCTTGAAATAGTGTCAAGTTAACAGCTTTAAGTTCCCTACAAATAATGAACTTGTCCCCACCAAAATGTTTAAAGTTATAATGCGGCAGACGTTTCAGGAAAACTGTCAAGCATAGGTATTTTTTAAAACAATTTATGTATTTAGGCCTTTCATCCATATGCAAACTGCATTTTAGGTCACTGAAAACTGACCTTTTGGTGTGTTAACATGTTAACAGGGAAAGAGGAGTCATGGTACGTGTCTACAGGGGTGTTTGCACACAAGGGGTCATGCAGCTTCCCGGCACTGGACGCTTGTAGTCACAAAAGCTACACACAACTACAACTGCACAAACAATGCACTGACTGATCAACCACAGCCAAAGACTACATCTGCATGTGGAAGAAGCAACAACAAAAATTAGGGCACCTTATCTGAGTGAAGGAAGACTCTGGAAATCCACTAATGTTAATATATCTGTATGGCTATAACCATCTTCCTGGGTCCAGACTACATCACAACACAGAGTACAGAGCCCCAAGTGAGGGATCTTGTCAACTTTTACCAAACACACAGTAGCCTCTAAGTGCAATTGACTGCACACACACTGAAGTGAAACACGGCGGATATGCGGATATCCAGGGTTCTGAGATTGTATTTCAGCCAATTTGTTCTGCCTCTTCGCCTTTTGCTTTCCACATGGACTGTTTACCTGCATGCAACCTAAGACTACAAATGGAAGCTAGAACACTTCCAGTGCCAGGGTTTAGGTCTCTTGCCTACAGATTCTGCAGCCATATCCAGATTTCTAGTTTGGGCAGTGGTGACCTAAAGGTTAGGAAAGCATGCTTGTGCACCGACGCAATCCTCGCATCGGCAGGATAAATCTGGGTGGGGAAGAAGCAGATGCCTTACTCATTACCACCAGCTCAGTGGCCAGCCGATTGGACTGGTTGTACTGGAAAGCTTCCAGGTGTGAATGTGATCAGGGAGTTCCAGCAAAAGTGAGGGTACCTCTTAGTTAACCTTCCGTGAACAAATAAAGATTAAAAAATATCTGTTTATAGAGATTACTAATCTCTACCCCCATGTACAGGAACTTTTGGACTTTGTGGTTTGAAAACTGGGACACACGAGACGATGTCCTGCCATGTCTTTGTTATCAGTCTCCACCCACCTGTCAGAGAGGAGGAGCTACATCATTAATTGACGCTTTGGTCTAATTAAAAACTGCTCTAAAAGCTAGAACCAGAGCAGAGGTCAACGCCTCTCCACATGAAAATAAACCAACGTGTGTGTCATACATTTCTACAAGGGGCAGGGACTCAGGCACGCTATCCCGGATTAAATATAGAGTTAAAGACTGAAGGTGGGGGGAGGTAGGACTGGTTGGGGGGTATTCAGGGGCAGGAACAGCTGCTGGCTTCAGTCGAACACATTCAGCAATCAGTCATCTCCAAACTACCACACTGTAAAAAACATTCATCCTGATCCAACATTCATTCATGTTGTCCAGTAACCTAGAGCCTCCTTTATAGACAGGAAATATCGGGGTGAAGTTTTTAGTAGGCCTTCTGAATGTCGCTGAATAAAAATAGAAATTCAGAGAGAGGATGAGAGAAACTAAACTGAAAATGAATTCTATGTTTGTGTTATTTCAGCAGAAAAAGAACCTGTAAACAACTGCACAACCGTAAATTAAAAGAAAAAACACATAAAGACACAATATCTAGTAGTAAAATCAATATAACAAAAACCAAATTGGGATTACCTGAAAGTTTAAAGCACATAGAAATACATGCAAAACAACCTTACCATCCCATGACACCACATTAGCATGAAAGGAAGTCTTGAAAGCTTATCCTTAAAAATGTTTGGCTTGGGAACCGGAGGGTCGTCGGTTCAAGTCCAGCACAGACCGCAGTACTACGTGGCAGCCCATCACTCCACCATCTCTCCACGTTTGCATGTCTATAAGCCCTGCATGTGCATGATTGTATTTCGGACCAGTGTGTAAAGCAGGAGTGAAAAAATAATTTCCCCATTGGGGATTAAATAAGTATATCTTCTTCTTCTTCTTCTTCTAAAATAACAACAGATTTCCAAAATAATGATTTAATAAATTATTATATAAAGATAAAAATTCTGAAAGCTTTGCTACACTAAATGGAATGCAGCCTTAATGATTCTCATTGGCAACACCTGTGTTTACCCGACTATTTCATCTCAGAATGCCTGCTGTGAAAAAGGCCTATTAATCATTCCACTAAATACAGCATCTCAACATGTAGTGAACACTTAGCACATAAGTAATGCTCAGAATAAATAAATCCTTCTGTTCAGAGCAGTGAGTGTTAAAATAGTGTCAGTCTAACGCTCCTCTCGTCGTCTCTATAAAGAGCTTCAGATCTCAGTCACAGTCAATGTTTGGACTCTGCTGCCCAGGGGAAAGTAAAAAGGGCAGCACTGCAATGTTTAATCCTCCAAAAACATTCCAGCACTGTGTAATCAGACCAGACAACTGTGGCTTCTCTGCGTCTGTGACTGCAGAGCTGCAGAATGACTCCTAATCTGCTGTTGATGTACATGTTTCGCAGCTGCTAGCATGAACATGTGCAATAGCGGAAAATTATGAATCAGTCTGCATGGCTTTAACAAAGCAGAGCAGGATCTGGGTGGGAAATTCCATCATCCTCTGCTTTCCCAAAATGTCTGAGTGTCGCCTTACAAAGGGTTTTTATTTTTAGCTTGAGGGGGTTCGTGTGAGCATTGCCTCTCCCTTCTGAGTTGGCCCACATCCCGATGGGGGCTGAATTCAGGTTCCCTTTGGATCCTGAAGCCTTTTTTAAAAGCGGTAGGTGGAGTTTCTCCTCTCTCCTGTCCCCAGACCTGAGTTTGGGTCATAGCGGTTGGGTGTTGCCACTCTCCGGTCTCCCTGCTGGTAACTCCAACAGTCCTGGTCCCCTTCCCCAAACTAACTTTAAATCAAATCCAAAGTGAGAGATCGTCCCCAGTCATCAAAACACTGCAATGGATCAACACAAATATCGCACGGCGGGTGTCCCGGAGAAGCTGGAGATCATCGGGGTGGAGGACGAAGCTGGGAACCCAATCAGTGCCCTGACCATCTTGTCTCTGCTGGAACGCGTGGCTGGCATCATCGACAACGTCCAGTCCTGCCAGCAGCGCATGGAGGAGCGTCAGCTGGAGCTGGAGAACAACATCAAAACCATCCAGGGCGATGTCCTGAAACTGGCCAAGGACCACACCGACACCAGCGGCACAGTGGAGAAGCTCCTGCAGAAAACCCGCAAGGTCAGCGCCAACGTCAAGGAGGTCCGGACACGTGTTGAGAAGCAAAACGTCCGCGTCAAGAAGGTTGAAACCACGCAGGATGAGCTTCTCACCAGAAACAAGTTCCGCGTTGTCATCTATCAGGTAAGCAGAAGTTTGCATTAAAGTGTTAAAGATTTAAAGATAATTTGCTTTTCTGGGATTAGAAATAAAAATGTAAGCAGTAACAAGTAAAACTGAAAGTACACTTCCAAATTCTTTCAAAACCTTAATGCAGTACGTTTAGAACTGAAACAATAAAATGAATCAGTGACAGCAATTTTGTCTATTAATCGTCACTCAAGTAAAACTGAAACTTGAATTTGCAAATTTTAGTGTCTAACTGCAAGAATTTGCTACTCTTGTAAATGGAAATCTTTGCGTTTGTTCATACTTTTCATACTTTTGGATGTTTTTTAGACTTCATTTCAAGATAATGCCATGGGGTGACACCGGCTCTAGAAAGGGGCGTTGGTGTTTTTCATGTTGTGCCCACTGTAATATCTCCTTTGTGCTTGGAAGGGGAGGCTGTAGAGAGGGAGTTGCAATCAACTACTACACCACTAGATGCCACTAAATCCTACACACTGGACCTTTAACACTGACTATGCACACAAATATTTCGTTTTTTGCCCTTAATCAGAAAGAGACAATATTCCTACTAAGCTAATGAAAATTTTAAATTCCACTAAAAATTATAGCAGCTGTGCATTCTCAGATTACTGTTAATGGCAAACTGTATGTTGCATTTTGTCTCTTCTCTCAAAAGAGGATTTTTCCAAAGTTTTTTGACTGGTGGTGGACAGCCTCCATCTTTCATTTGTTCCACCACCTTCTTGAAAAGGTTGTCCTTGGTAATATTTGTGCATAAAGAAAAAAACCTGTTGACATCCAAGTCTTTCACAATGTTCAACAGTAGGTGTGTTCCTCCTTCCAATCAAAAATGTGGGTTTTCATGTATGCATCTCTACTTCAGCCTCGCAAACTGTGGGCAAGTAAAACCACAAATGGGTAGCATTTAACATCAATATTCATCGTTTTAATTGGAAAATTCTCCATTCGGAATAAGGGCTTTTTAGGAATATCCAAACTGAATATGCTGTGTACATGACCCTTATCAAATATGGACTATATTCCATATTTGGCATAATAATTAGAATGCATGTGAACATACTCATTGAGAAGAGTTTAAAAAAAACATCTTCAACACTCAAATAAGAATCTCTGAAGCACTGGTGACAGTCAGTGGAAGTCTAGGCGGAGCAGCTCCCACTCTATCAGGACTATCAGTCCAGGGTCCCATCCAGGTTCCCATTTACGAGGAACTGGAGCATAATTAAATTAAGTCCCAAAAATAAAGAGGATTCCTTCCCTGAAGCGGTACAAACTCTGTGCCAAGCAGCGAGATCTTAACTCGAATGAGCTCTGACTCAATTCATTAGGCGGTGGACACAGTGAGAGGGCGAGCGGGGATGTGAGGAAATGAAATGTGGTTTGAGTTCAACACTTAAGAGCCCTCGACTCTGTAACACTGGCAATTTATAGAAAAGCTTCCTCGTTACGTTAGGAGGGCACGCTTTCATTGAACAACCCTAATCAGATCAGGTGAGACGAGTGAAAACAAGATGATTCACTTCAGATTTTAATTGGTAATCTGAAAAACTCCACTGACCACAACCATTGGAGTGCTTTTGAGCCTAAAAATCCACATTTGCATGGGCAAATATTTCTTCTCTGAACAGGAAGGGTTGGAAAATAAACCAAACGTGTCTTATCTGCAAACAGACACACGATACGTTTTTTAAAAGTGTAAAGAGAGTGAGAATACTTTGAGGCACTCGTGTTGATTGAGGAGGCTGAGATGGACAGACTTTTTAATAGTATTAAATTGGGGTGCTGTGGGAGTTCTGTGGAAGCAGCTGGTCAGATGACAGAAAGAAACGTTGCTCTGAACTCAGAGGACTTTTAATGGCGATCAAAGACTCTGTACATCGCTGCAGGCTGTCTGAGTGCAGCTTTGGTCGGACAAGAGGAGAATAGTGTCGAAATTTGAGCAGCTGCCTAAATCAGAAGCATTCAGAGTCTGCAGTGTGTGAACCGTTTTTGCTATAAGGCAGTTAATCTGTGGTACTTTGATTGATTACAAATTTGTTTGGCACTAATGAAGCACAATAAAAGCTGCTCAGTGGAGGTTGATCCGGCCCTTTCACTATCCAAGTTTTATATAAGTTTTCCAATTTTCTTAAAGTAATCGTTTAACCTCTGACGAATTGTGCTCTCGAATTACTTAATTTTCTTACTTCCTTCTCTTGTATTGAGGGCAACAGTTTCATTTTCTATAAAATATGTTCCTTGATTAAAAATAAGTCCAAGCAGTTTATAGCAAAGGAAGTAAATCCTCTGTGGAAAGGGTTTATTCATGCAGTGAATAAATAAAAATACAGGGACAAAAAATACTGTTCATAAGGTAAAAAAGTCCGACCTTTAGTTAAAGCTCAAGCTAAGCTAAAAGCTTATAGTTTGTACCTTTAATCTTTACATTTACTGATAAATTGCATTTTCATTCAGTTTTCCCACAAACTTTCTCATCCAGCTCCTAATGAGACACAGCAACTCTCTGACTCACTGAAAGGTGTTATAAAATAGAAACGATGTTAAAGATAGATGACAATAAATTAGAGACAAACACTCGTCTTTACGTTGGGCTCTGCAGATATACATTCAGCAGCCAGTATTCGATGAAGACGTTGTCCTCGTTAACGTCCAGACTTCAGAATAGTAACCAGGGCGCTATGTGCTGCTAACAGCTGCTGTGGATCTGTGACAGAGAGACCTATTCTGGGAACACAGCATTCTGCCTCACTGCCAGCAGGGACACACTATAAACTGCTGTCAGCCACAGTCAGGGTCTGACATAGTACCTTATCACAGGGGTCAATATACAGAGAGGGGGGCCGGGGGACTGTCTCAATCATCCTGACCTGCTGCTGCTATAGATAATAATGTCGGAAAAACTAAGGAAGAAAAAATAATATATAACTATACAGCCCTGTCTCCTAAAATATTATTTTTATATACAACTTCAGTTGCAAGAGTTTTGAGGGAAACATAATGCCAAATGCCAAATTAACATAATGAGTAAAAGTTGTTAATTAACATACCTGGAAAATCACAAAAATGTTGATACTGAACTTAATAACAAAATAGGCAATCTTGGAATACTAACCACTAGTCGTGACTACAACATTACTCAGAAGTTAACGTAAATCATAATCTTTCCCAACCTTAAAGATCCTCTTCAGACATACATTGTTCTGCAAATTGTCATATTTTCTTAAAATCCTTAAAAAGACATCCATTCCTTCTACCGCATTATAAATTCAAGAATCTATGAATATGCTAATATTGTTCATTTCTAAAGTTTCCCTGCTGGA